CTCCAGCGTGCTCGGGGACAATATCTGGCCAGGGGGAGCGATCCCGCTGAAGCCCTACCCCTCCCTTTTTTTTCGGAGCGTGGGCAGGGGACGGCACATTTTTGCGCTGCAGCTTTCAGGGACAGAGATGAAGCAAGAAGGGCTGGAGCTTTGGCTCCGGATCACATTCACACGAGGAAAGTCGGTTATCTTGCCAGATTCACCAGCGTGCTCGGGGACAATATCTGGCCAGGGGGAGCGATCCCGCTGAAGCCCTACCCCTCCCTTTTTTTTCGGAGCGTGGGCAGGGGACGGCACATTTTTGCGCTGCAGCTTTCAGGGACAGAGATGAAGCAAGAAGGGCTGGAGCTTTGGCTCCGGATCACATTCACACGAGGAAAGTCGGTTATCTTGCCAGATTCACCAGGTTGGCTTTTCACTGGGGGGGAGGACGGAGGACGGAGAGCAGCAAGCGAAGCTGCGGAGCTGCAGATCTCTGGCTCTGGGGTTGGATCTTGCCCGTTTTTTGGCGTCTCCACCAACCCTTCCCGAAGAGAGTTTTTTCCTCCCCCCACCCCCAAAGCGGCCCCGCACCTCCCCTCCAGGCTGCTGATGTTAATTGACAGGCCTGTCGGAGGGTCCTGGTGGGCTCGTTTCCATCGTAAAGTTTATGGCAAAGAGTCACAATCGATTAAAGGCCACTTAGGCGGCAGCCGCGGAGCGAAGAGCTACCCGGGGCCACTCAACACTTTCCCCAGCCTGGTTCTTTATGATGGGCTCCCACCGCGCACGAGTGACCCACCAGCTCGCTCGCTTCCCCCCCCCCCCCAAACCCGAGCATCCTGCAGGTTTTGCAAGCTAGGAGGGTGCACATCACCTGCCCCCGGCTACTCCCCTCTTCGCGATAAAACCCTGCTTGGGGAGGGGTTTCTGACCAGTGCCCTATAAGATAATGGATGGGGGGGGCGCTTTAAGGCTGGGGTATGGCATCCGCCTTGCTAGCTATGCACTGTCCCTTCCCTGCTGTCTGTATTGGCACCAAATAAAGACCCGCTGGGTGGGGAAGCTGGAGAAGTGAAAAGGGGCTGGTAAGCAATTTGTTTTTACAAAAAATAATGCGGGGAAGCGCAGGCATGCATTTTTAAAGCAAGCATCTCAGGGACATATTTCAAAAGCATGAATTATTGAAGGCCCTCATGTCGCCAGCCCCAGAAATTCGTCTCTGGGAGAGATAAGAATAGCTTTTAACCAAGGCAGCCGGGTGGAGTCGCCATCTTCCCTCCAGGGGGCCGTGAAAAATAACTTCCTATCATTAAAACTCGATGAATAATTCAAGCCAAACCTCAGCATCATTTTTAATAACGCATGCGGTGTGTTAAACCGGGGGCTTTGCGTGTTCCCAGCCCTTTGCACCAGGACCGAAATGGGGCGCGACATACTGCCCTTTGGAGGTGAGCGTGGATCCGCCCATCCACCTGCAACGTGGCCCTGTATTTTTATTTCCCGCCCCTGTTCAATTACTAATATTGGGCTCATCATTGGCTCTTTCAAGGGTGGTTTGACACCTCTTTCCACGCAGTCCAAAAGTGTGGAGGGAGGAGGAGGGGAGGAATATCTGAACCCACTCAAACATTGCCTCTGGGATAACTTATGCATTTAGCCCCCCCTTTTTTCCTGCACTCACATTCCATCTGAGGAAGTGGGTTTTGCCCACGAAAGTTTATGATATTGTATGTATATTATGCATACACACACAGTGCCACAGGACTACATGCATGCACACACACACACACACGGCCCACGAAAGCTCATGATATTGTATGTATATTATGCACACACACACACAGTGCCACAGGGACACACACACACACACACACACACACACACACACACACACACACACAGAGTGCCCAGGAAAGCTCATAATACTGTATGTGTATTTGCACATACACACTCAGTGACACAAGGCTACACACACACACACACACACACAGAGCCACAGGACTGCTCCTTGTTTTTAAAAGCTGTTTTTAAAGTTCCAAAGTTTTTCTAGTTGCGGACTAACTGGGCTACCCTCTCTGAAGCGTTTAAAGTTGCAGGCTAACAGGGCTACCCTCTCTGAGACTTTTATGCAGTTTATTGTTTTCTTTCAGATCACCCAGCTGAAAATCGATAATAATCCTTTTGCCAAAGGATTCAGAGATACGGGGAATGGAAGGCGAGAAAAGAGGTACCAGTTCGTAGCCAAGCTGGAATGTTGTAGTGTAAAATGGATAGTGCCTTGTCCCCTTATTTGGGTTTGGATTTCCAAACGGTGCTTAAAATATTTCAGTGGGGACTTTTAGTGGAGCCCAAAGTAATACTAAGTGGAGACCTCCGTCCAGCCCCGTATTTGCATTCATTCCCTTCTTTCCCTTCCCCCTGAACAAGGCAGAAGGATGAGTGTCTGCATGGGGGATGCACCAAGAGAAGACATTTCCAGAAATTACTTTCTTCTTTTTTTGAAGGAAACAACTCACTCTCCCCTCCCTGCGGATGTATGAGGAGCAGTGCAAACCTGACCGAGATGGGGGTGAATCGGATGCTTCCTCGTGTGACCCTGCCCCACTGCGAGATACACTTCACTCCCCATTGGGAACTGCCCCAAGTCCCCTGAGACTCAACCGCAGCAGCCGAGGTAAATAGCCCAGCCGGTTCACTCCAGAGCTCAGTATGAACTGCAGAGCGCCTGCTAAAAAGGAAAGCAGTGATCTTTCTGCCTTGCCCTCTGTGGCCAAAACGGTCAGCCTCTAATCTGATTTCCAGCCCAAAGCCTTCCTAAGAATTGCTTCGAATTTGGGGGCGGGGGGTGTAACTGACACCTCTGAGGTGAACTGGGAAATTATTTTCCCCCACCTATTAGAACTTAGTGGTATTTTTAAGTCCAATCCGAATTGGAAGAGGAGGAAGACAACATCTAGATTCAGAAAATTGAACTTTAAGTCACTTTCCTGCCCTGTGTCAGATTTCAGGTGTGTGGGGGCTCCTTATTTGGCAGCTAAATAGGTGCCACTTTTAAATGCAGATTACAGACGGGTGGAGCGCATTCTGTCCCTCTTCAGAGCGATTGCAAATTCGGAGTTGACAAGTGGGAAGAAAAGTATGCACAAGCAATGAGATAAGGAGGGAGAGAGGTTGATCAGTACAAAATAACCAAGTGTAACAATTGCAGAAATGTAGTTAGGCTGGCAAGGGGGGAATGCAAACTTCGATTCTAACCTTTTCGTGTTGTAAATGCGTGTAAACAATCGGCTTAGTAAGTGTACTGCAATTATGTTCCATCTGCCTTACTGGCTCTCAGAAATCCTTTCTGGAGGGATATGCTGGTTGCAAAGGCTACATTAACCCCTCTGCATGCAAAAAACAGTTTTAAGAGGAAAGAACATCTACTAAAAGAAAAGAAAATTCAGCAGCTCACTCGGTGTGTTTCCAGATACAACCTTTGGCACTGACACACAGTCAGTCGACTTTTGCTGCTTTTTTAAAACATCTTTTTCTGTTCTTTCAAGCCTGTGGTCTTTTTTGGCTTGCAAAAATTAATGAAATGGCAGCAATATTATTTACTTAAATAGCAGGGTTTTGTGACACATCTGCCCTCCGCAGATTTCCAGCTAGACCCATTCAATCGGTAATGAATATAACCGAGCAAGCGGCATGTCTACACTGCACAGCTATTTCGGGATACCGCTATCCTGCATCTGTTATTTCGAAATATTTGTTTTAAATAATGGGGGTGCTATTTCGCCATCCTGGTAAACCTGGTTGCACGAGGGTTAAGAGATGGCTCAGAATAGCCCCTTATTTCAAAATGTGGGCTGTGCAGACCATCACATTTCAAAATAAGCTATTTTGAAATAGATTTGAAATAAGACAGCACTTTGCCCAATGCAAATTGCGTATCTTATTTCGAGTTTAGGGTGCTGTGTAGATGCACCCTAATAAGGTGACTCCAACCTTCCTTTCCTTTCCGGATCACAACTAGTCCGGAATTGGATAAATCCAGTTGTGCAAAGTTTATTAACAAAATAGGCATTTTGCTACCTCATGCTACAGAGATTCTTGTGCCCATGCTCTGGTTAGTCTGTTTGGTCCCATTAACTAGTTTTCTCTACAAAATGGTGCGGTTTTTTACCAGTGCTTTCCCAGAACAGACCAGGATATGCTTATTTCATGGGGAGGGGTGATCTAAGGGGAAACAACAACATGCCCATAAACACAAGGCATTTAGGTCTCGGCAAGAACTTCAATTATTTTCCAATCCTGCCCATGCTCCCTTCCTTTCTGGTGGTGGTGTTGGCTTTGTTCTCACTGGCAGAGCACATCATGAGAGACAGACCAGAGTGAGGTTGAAGCTAATGGACAGGATGCTGTCAAGAGACTTTGGTTCCCCCCAAGCAAATATAGTCTCCCCATTTGGCAAAGCAGAGCTAATTCCCAGTTGGTAAAGGTTTAATTATTCCACTAAGGACCAGCAATGTCCCCTCTAATCTTTTTTCAATCCATGTGCGGATTTTTACCACCCAGGGGCAGAATAAATTTTATGTGCACCCAGGCCTGTGCAAATGGGCACCACTAGGAGAAACAACCAACCTGGCTGTGGGCAAATCAACTGGGTGGGGTTTGAATCTCTCCTGAGTGGCTGCACAAGCCCACAACTTCTAGGGCAGTGTTTCTCAACCAGTGGTACCAGTTCCCTTAGGGGTACTTGAGAGAAGTCTGGAGGGGTGGGTAGATCAACACAACTGAAATTTGGAGAAAACTGAATTGTTGGTTTAAGTTTTACAGCATTTTATTATTTTTGTACTTTTTACACCCAAAAAATGTCATTGCCGCTACAATTACAAATGTGTTGTAATGACAGAAAAAAATTGTGTGTGTCTGAAAACTGTAGATACTGGGGGTACTTATAATTTTTTAAAGGGGTACTTTATTAAAAAAAAAGGTTGAGAAACACTGTTCTAGGGAACACTTAAGGACCATGGTTGTTGGGGAGATTGTGGGGGTAACCCCCGGAGTTGTGTCTGAGCTGAAATAGAGCCACGCAGACAGGGCGGGCTGGAGAAGGCAGGTTGGGGGGGGCTGCTAAAAACGGGGGGAGGAGGAGAGGGGCGCAGGGAGCTGGGAAAGCCGGGGGCGGTTGCACTGGAGGGTTTCACACTCTGGCTCCCGTGCAGAGGAGAAATCCGGCCCGGAGAGCGACCTGGAGCGGGAGAAGCTGCCGGAGGAGGGGCCCAGCC